GGACGATGACAATACTCTGATTATCTTCAGCATTTGAGTTTTCTCTGGAGATCCCTCATTGCCTTGCAGAAGTGTCTCAACACCTCTCGCGGATGTGTCTCAACGTCATTCTCAGTCGTCGAAATGGATGGGCATTGGCTCCTTTATGACTGCCACTCGTGCATTCTTCATAGAACTTCTGTATCCATTCAAACGCATTTCTTTGCGAGAAAACATTTACATTTCCATAATACTGTGCACAAAGTTTTTTTTATGGATATCGGTATATTCATATATATGGAATTACTGGACACCCCTTCATATCACGAGAACGATGACTGATTCACTTGTACAAATTAAGCATGGGACAGCCATTCTTCCTAGCACCTCAGTCCCAACTGAACTGATTTAACAGATTCAAGCCTGCACAGCAGTGACTGGAGATACAGCAACCTTGTATGAAAAGTGCCGATAAGACTGTGCAGCCAACAGAAGGTGTAAGTTGACCAAAGTGAAATAAGTTTTTAATCACCCTCGTACGACATGGATCCTTCGTAACGTCTGCGTTCTGGCTCCAACCATACTTATTCATTGTTTAGTTTACTTCATGAGCCAATCTTAGTAACGGTATACATATAGCATTTACACCAAGACACTCTTTGTGGCTTTGTTTTAAAAAATGAAAGTTACATTAAAGCGGTTTTGCGCAGGTGAGGTATACGGCCAAGGGAACATAGTATAGGGGGCTAATTGTAACGATCAGTTGGCTAATTAAGTAAAATTCGTTAATTAACTTTTTAATAAATGAAAATAGACATGTGGTTCCAATTAGAAACTTGTTCAGCGTCACCTAAGGCCACTATATCAACTCTTTTTCGAAAGATATAACGCAGGGGCTGTATATTACAGCGTTCCATGAAAACGCTCAATGTGGACGCGTTTCTAGGTTTCGATTTGTTATTGCAGTGCATCTCTGCTCCCACGGTCCTGCTCGACAGTGGCTGAGATGTGCAACACAGTTGCGCCCAACTTCCCTCTATGCTACAAGGTAAGCGAGGGAGTGGCTTTGCGCCGCGACTACAGGAGGAGGAGGAGGAGGAGGGAGGGGAGGGGAGGGGGAGGGGACAGGATTGCGGGCGCAAAGATGTGCTCGGATAAGTAAGCGAAACCTAGAAACACATCCAAATTGAGCGCTTCATTAGAACGACGTAAAATGCTGCCCATGCTTTATGTTCTAAAAAGAGTTGATTTAGTGGTTTTCAATGGCGCTTAGCAAGTTTCTAATTGGAACTATGTGTCGATTTTTAATTATTTAAAAAGTTAATTAACGAATTTTAAATAATTAGCTGACTGATCGTTACAATTAGCCCCAATACTCTATCCCCCTGGCTGTATAACTCATCTGCACAAACCGCATAAGTGTAACTTTCACGGCTTTTTAAACAAATCTGTTAAGTTTTGAAAGAAACACCTGGTATATCTTTGTGTAGGTTAAAACTTTCCTACTTTGACCTTATTATGGTCATAAAAGTCAAAATTAAATGGGTTGTTAGCCTTCAGAGAGTGATGAATCAGTCAGCTATGAAATTAGACTGTTTGTGTCTCCACTGCAGAAAGAAAACTTACCATATGCAGCATGACTGCTAACTTGGGGTCTTTACATGTAACCTTGTAACTTGACCTTCTGACTTTCTTTGTGCTGCATCAGTCATTATTTTGTTAGCTCATAAAATTGAAGATAGTTAATTTTAGGTTAGTTCAAAAAGCAAGCTGCATTACGGTCTGGTTTCTCACTTATTTTAACTAGTCAGTGTTACGTAAAGTTTCCCCAGATTGGTAAAGTTCCATCTTTCTGTGGCAGTCGTGCATTTCATTCCTCTGGTTCTATTATGCTGTTCTAATTTCTATGCCTAGGTGTTGAGGGTTTTTCTAAGTGTCTGTTAGTTCTGTCTTTTAGCAAACAAATACAAGCTGTGCCTTAGACCTAGACATTGTACAAAGTTTCTTTTCTATTTCACCTGCTCTGCCTCAGATCTCAATCATGAAAACCAACACTAGGATTATCACATTAAGCTTAGGTCATTTATGACCTACATGATTTTCCAAAATAAACCATTCAGATTCCCGATCAGCCTTCATAACCATTTCATGTTTTTGTTAGTACCTGAATTATTTCCTTAAGAAAATAGATGAGCAGATGCTGGAATAAGCAAGGCTTGAGTCTAGGGCTGGGGTCCAATTGCTTGCCAAGGATAATTTAACCATACATATTTGTATAAAAAATTTCCAAGTGCAGCCAGAAAACAGAAATACTGGGTATTTTCATGATGCCTACTTCACAACACAACTTATGTGCATTGCAACAAAGTGCACCCCAAAAATAAAAGTAAATATTGTATTCAATTTTGACAACAATTTAAATATATCGAAGTGCAAATACAATTACTGAACGATTATTAGCTTCTACGGTACTGCAGAACATGTTGTAACATCTTACCCAGAGGGGCATGGCGTGTGAGCTGTGGCACAGTACACTGCCTGTCTCCCTAGTTGAACGTAAGGCGGTGGCGGTCTTTGAAGTATGAAAACTCACACTAGGTCATCACATTGTGTCTATGAGAACAGTCATCTCTTCGCACTACCCGCCACAGCCTGCCCTAATACAGTGCTGAGCAAATCTCGCATCTTAGTCGTTATGATTTCTTGTCGCCGCTACAAAGTGCGGTCACCAGATAAGTTTCGACTGTAGAACGACACAGTTTTCCGAAGCTAAGATTTTACTCGGGAGACAAAGAAACTTCTCTTAAAAATTGTCCTAACACTAAAAAAAAAAAAAATAGCCTTTTCGTTGCATTATTGTTTAAATGCGTTGTTCACCGCAATTTAATGACAACGGAAGAATGGGGCTACAATCGGCTGATCGCCGAGATCGTGCACTGCCGCTATTCAACGCGCTGATTGGAAAAAGGAAATGCGTTGAAAGTAAGAATCTGACGTTTACAACACCCTGTAACGCCGAATTAGAGCACAGCTCTTAAAGAAGACGAGGGAAGGGTACTGAGGGGAGGGTATACCCCCTTTACCTGCTCCTCCTCACCCACTCATCCTCCCTGCTACTCCTCCCCTCCTCCTCATCTTCCTTCACCTCCACCTCACCTCATCCTTCAAGCTCCTCTCTCCTCCCCTCCTTCCTTCTCTTCCCCCTCCTCCTTCCTTCCCTCCCCCTCATCCTCCTCCCTGCGCATTGCATCATGGGTAGTGTTCCATAATGCACCGTGCGGTTACGCCGACTCCACTCAAGCCGGAAGCGGGTGCCTAAGAGCTGCGCTCTAAGATAAACAAGGTTGTAAATAGCAATACGTTACAGATATGCGCAAATAACTGCATACGAATAAGCACGCTGAAATAAAAACCAATGGGAAGATGGACGTGAGCTGTGCGTGAGCCCCACATCTGCATACCTTCCCTGGTTAGGGCTAACACACACTGAGACTGGAAAGTCAACTTGAAAACGGGTCGATAAACACTTCACATAATATTTTGCATCTGTCGCAATCGAAGGTCATTTTGTTGAGGCTCTCACGCTGCTGTAGCCTAAAACACTTTGTACAACCAATTTCGTCCACCGTGTAGACCGCCACAAACCAGCCGGCATGTTTTAAATCCAGGATTAAGAAATGACCAAGTAAAGTACCCGATGTTGAGCGCTCACGATAGGCATGGTTTAGTGCTAGGTTTAGCGATAAGTGATTTTGGTGCAACAGAACAAAACCAAAACTCGGCTTAGGTTCCCTGCTAAGCTCTGATTTGCGTTAAGCTGCATTGGTGCAACTGGCCCTAAGTCTCAGACCGCCGCACCTTACTGTCACGACCAAGAAGGCACCCAAAACAGGCAGTAGAAGATGCGGGAAAGGCCGTCGTCTGCTCTCCGCTCCTTATCTGGGAAGCAGCTTTACCGCATTGCACGCGGAGAAGCCGTTGTGGCATGCCGATAGAGGCGTTCGGAGCGCTAACGACAACATGCCGGCGGAGATGACGGAGAGAGCCTAGATTTAAGAGAGGGAGCAGTAAGTGCGCCTGCATTTGATTGTTGCCTGGCCAGTCTAGCGAGAAAACTGGGCAAGAAAAGAGGGACATAAAATATAATACAGATGACCCAGGCTTTTAACTTGCAACAAAATATATATTGGCTTCAAGTTGCTTCCCAAAGCTCCATGAGGGTGTGACACAAAGAGGGAGGGGGAGAGGACGGTGAATGAGAGAAGCAGGGGGCTATGTGCCTATGCCAACAGCTAAGCATATGCAGCGGGAAGTAGTCTGCTGAGTGTCAAGTGACATGACGCCATTGGCTACGATATGTTTGCTTTTTGAAGCCTACATTTTACCTTTTTCTTCCCTTAGTGAAGGCACCTGTATTGTTTTCAAACGTGAATTCTGTTGTTTGATTATAGGGAATGAATTAGATTGTTGCACTTCCATTTTGTGTTAGTTCAATCAATCAATTAATCATTTTATTTGCACCTGTACGAGTACAAATGCTGGGAGGCAGACAAAAAGCCAACAGTTGTTTGCTTGACAAGGTATTCTCTTTCATCTTCTTGACAAAGCGAGCTACAAAAACAGCGAAGAGATAACTATCATATGTCTCAAGAGATAAAAACAGGAAAAAACAAACAAACAACAGATTGAACACTTGTAGGTATGACATTGTCGTGAAAACACTTATTGGTTTGAGAGCCCTGTGTTCTATTTCAACATAGAACACATGGTTGTGCACCATAGAAGTGGAAGTTCGAGAACAGTGATAATATGCAACCACCAGCTCTGCAAAGAAATGCTGCATGTAAAGCATACATACATTGTTATTTTCAGCAGGAGGTCGCATTTTTCGAATGTGCTCTCGCTGCACAAGCATTTATATAGCAGATGCATCTGAGGGTTCTGTACTCAATTGATAGTTATTTTTTAAATTCTGAGTATTAGAAGATTTGTACCTAACAATCCATCTTATTTTCTAATAGCACCCCAGGAGCTACTATCGCCCGAAGATGTCACAGGTGGTCATGATTCTTTGAGGCAGCGGAATTTCACCGGTAAGTTGCCGCCGCCCCCCCCTCACCGACGTTTTGACATGTGTGCTTGCCTCTAATGGCCCTTTCAGAAATTTGCATCAGGAGCTGTAGCTTTGACAGCATCCGTTGCAAGCACGTTGTCTGCAACGACCACAGTGTGTTGCTTGGACACACATTTGACACAACTTCAGCAATAGACTTTTTGCTAATTACCCAAGCACCAAGGGGAATGCTGGAAACGTAGGTACACATGCTGCACACGCTTGCCTTCTCTGCATAAAGGATTCGAGGCAAAAAACCAAAATAGGGTTTCGAGGAATGTGTGTGCAATGTGCTATTTATTTTAGATTTTTACCTTTGAACAGATTCGCTTGCAGACACCAGCACATGCAGTGTATGTTCATACATTCTCAGCATTCTCTTTTGTGCATGGTTAATTTGGGATATGGTCTATCCTGACGTATATGGCAGTATATAGTGTTATTTCTGTGACTGAAGATTCTCTATGGCCATCAGCTTTTTCTTTTATTGGCCATGCCTTAAAAAACGTCTTTTCAAAGTATGATTGGAAGCAGGTAGGTGTTTTTGTTTGTATAGGCTTGATGTTGTTATTATTCCCAGGACATCATTCTTGCAGGCCTAAATAGAAGAGCAAACTGTGATTCACCGCACTAGAACTTGAATACTCCAGTCTCACCGCATTCTTGTGTTGCAACTATAGAAACATACAATAAGTTTCCTTGTGCAGTGTATTACTGCAGAAGAAAGCAGGCATGGTTCACACACTTGCAACTGCCTACAACCGGCACGGCAGTCATAAGCATTTATAGAGGTTTAAAGCCAGTCTTTTAACCTCTCCAGCCAGAAGCAGTCGCAAGTGTGTGAAACAGCCTTTGTGCCTGTTTTATTTCTGTTAATCACTACCCCTGGAATGAGATCAGTTGTGAGCAATTGAAGCAGCACCGACCGAAACCTAGTTCAGGCCAACATCTTTATGCAAATTTTTAATGCACATTCACAAGCCTGTTGAAAGCATTTTACGTGCATAATCTTTTTCTTTCAAACTCACTATAGATATAAGCACTGCATTAGCATGACTCTTCCCTATTTGTTAATTTTTCAGCACACAGTCGCTGACCAACATACTAAAGCAGGCTCCTCTGGTCCGTGCAATTTGCTTTGTAAGCAGTCTGTCAACTGAACCTTCAGTCTATGTCCAATCTGATGTTGAGGTTGGGTATACTGTCCCTATCACGTGAGCAGATAGCTGAAATTGTAGCCACAAGGCTAGCTCCCTCCTCCCTGTGAAAGTAGGGTGTTTTTCGGGTGGCGGATCTAAGGTTTGGGAAGCCAGTGCTTTCCTGTGGCCCTTTCAACCTTCCCTTGACACTTCTGCTTGTACAGCGCATGCTGACAGCTACTTGAAGTATCTTTTTGGTTGTAACGTTTGTCTCGACCACAGTTTTCAAGGGCATAGGAGAATAGTTTCATTGATTAACCCTTAACTTGACACTGTAAGTCAAGCAGGCTGTCATGACCATGCTCATCTCTCATTGGTGCTGTATCTTCAGAGTTTAATGTATTAGCTGTTAATTGAAAGTTGGCTTTGAGGCAAGATGCCGAGTTATTAGGTTGTAAACCAGACTGAGGTTCCTGCAATTTGACTGAGGCTTATTGTGCTGCAAGATCAGTCTAGGTTCACAATACCTGGGTGGTTGAGATGAATCTTCAAAGTTTTGTTCTAATTAAATCTGTATGATTTTCTTTTTTAGCACCTTTCAAGCTAAGTAGTTAATGGCTTTTTTTGTGCCTTGTCTTTTCAGCAGTGCATCTTTAACACCTTCAGTTTCTTTTCTACTGCAAGCCTGGTACTACAGCTTGTGGCCCGTGTAGAAGAATAGAGGGGTGAAACCAAGGCTCAAGTGACTGTGGACTCATGGCCCTCAGACAGCTAGAGCACCAGACCAGGCACAGACCAGAGCCATTTATGCTCCACTTCTAGAGGACATGTTGCAGTTTGAAACTACCAAGACTCATGGAAGCTGCTGACAGGAGGCTGTTGGTATGTTCAGTTTTATTCTTTAGTGGAATTACTTCTTGGAGCATTGTAATTATTTGTGTAATAATGGCAATTCCCTGTTTAATATCTGCAGAATATAATTGTTAGATATACATCCTTAGCCATTGAAGATCTGGAACTTTCCACAAGTTCTGGTGGCAACCACATAAAATTGCAGTCATGGAAAACACCAAGCCATATAGAATTTCTGGTTCTAACTGACATCTATCGAGAATCACTCCTCTGGTAGCATACCTCTTGACTTAAAGGGGCCCTGCAATCATATTTAAGCGTCTACCTTCTTTGCGGTTTCCAAATCTATTTTGGTTCGGGCAAGGCAGCGGGCACGGAGAGAGTAACTAAATACCAGTGCGTTATATTTTAACCGGACGATGTGGAAACCTCCTCCACCTACGGGGGCGACCTGCGGTGCCGAAAGCGCGCAATTTGTGTAGTCTACTGGTCAGACCCGCTAAAAGCTTCTTTTTAGTCGAAATACAAAATATAAGTGGCGCGAACCGTTTCAGATATTTATGAAAGTACTTTTTGTTCAGTATTTTAGATCAGAAAATAAACAAATGCAGTTTATAAAGACGGAAACAAGAAATGACTCGTCGACATATCCACCACCAATCGGTGGAAAAGGCGGCGCATACTAGAGGGGTAGTGGGGTCAGGCACCGATGAGCGGCGAGTGTAGAAAGGTCTCCGATGTACGTGGCGGCGCTGCGGTCGTATACGGTTCGAGGATCCGACTGGTTCCGAGCGTTTCGAAGGCCTTTGGCGAGCAGATTTGGCTTGCGATTTGGCCGTTTGGTGGTATGGTAGCGCGAAGTGGCTGCCTTTCTGAACTGATTTTTAACTCGTGTTTGCTATCGTTGGTGGCCAATGAAGTGTCATGCCGAATCAGTGTTTAATCGTGCAGCAAGTGCAGTGCGAGCCACCCTGGCCGCCCGCTTCATACAGCCTAGCCGGAACATGCTTTAGTGGCGCCCTCTCGAGCCATCGACACGGAGTGCGGCAGCCGTGTGTGCTTGTTGAGCTCACTAATCCTGCTCTAGTTCACGACCACTCAAGCGACGAGGACGTCATGAAAGAGGGTTTTTGTGCTTGTTTTTGTATTTTTAATTTGCCTATATCTTTTAAAATAAAGTAAAATTCGTGAAAAGAACAGTTTCATTAAGATACGACATTCAGTGCACTCAGGTTCGGTGCAAATTAAAAACCAGTACAAAAGTCCTTGCAGGGCCTTTTTAAAAATCAGCCATGTAATCCCTGTACATTAAATCAAATCATTTATTGCATCTGCAAGTACAGATGTCGAAACCACGGACAAAAAAGCCAATCTTTGTTGGCTTACTAGGTCCGGGCCCCGAGAGCTTGGCAGATGGTGACGGAGATGCAGGAAAAACAATCAGGGTAATAAATGTATACAGAAAACGCGTTAACTAAACGATTAACATAACTTAATACATGTTATACAAAAAGTAGGTACATAGGTTCAAAGATAGAAATTCACCTCACTATTGTTCTATATCACTCAGCATGATATCTTCAAACATCATTAGATACACTGAGCCTAATATGCTCCTAAACAAAAATAAGCACAGATTTAGAAAGACATTATCATTCAAAATACAACTTTTGTGATTTATACATGACATTCAATTAAATTTGCAACGTAAACAACAAACCGTTGCTATATTCAGTGGTAAAACTGCTGCGCTAATTGCGCCAAACTGTGCCAGAATGAATAACCTGCTACATGCTGCTCTAAAGGCTGTATTTGCGCGCAATTTGCGTCATGTCTGCGCCGAAAGGGAGCAGTTCTCGAAAAGGAAACTGAAAGTGTCTGGCACGGGACAAGCGATGCCACTGAAAGTTAAGAAAGTAGTTTTTTTTTCTTGATGCCTAAGTAGTATGTGCGAAGAATAGAGCTACGCGAATATTTTAATTTTCTAATAGTAGTTTGAAATAATATGGTGATATTCGCTTAAAAAATTAACTGCAATATTCATACATTTCGAAGTGTTGATTGCGGTGGGTTAGCCCCCTTGAGTGCGCTTCTCCTCAAACACAGTTGCACTGCGGAGAAGCAATACCCATGAAGCTGACACAGTGATCTCGCTACCCGCTTCGCCGCAGCTCATTCGCACGCTTATGCGAAAAGCACATCTTCAAACTAGTATGGTGCACGCGCAGGCCTAATGTATATTAAAAGAAAAAAACAAAACAAAAAAACATAAAAGTTTTGGGATCGTTATTATTACATTGCAGTAAAATCTTCAAAATTTAACTGTGACTATTATTCAAGGGTGTATGTTAGAGTCCGTTGCAAGTCAAGGAGGTAGGGTGAAGGTAAGACGGGCCGGGGCAGAGGAAGCAGACGGAACACTTAAGAGAGATTTCCCCCTCTCTTCTCCAGCATTCCATCTGCTTCCTCTTTCCTGGCCCGTCTTACCCTCACCCTACCTTCTTGAGTTACAACAGGCTGTAGGCAGCAATGTTCAAAAAACCTCTGTTTATTGTTTGTGCTTTTTTTAAATTCAGAATCAACAAAAATATTTTTATATAGGCACAAAATTTTTAAAATATTTTATGTCAAATTTGTCATTTACTTGCCATCCCACTGTAGGTACTGGACGTTCTGAGGCTACAGTCTATAAATATAGCTAGATTAAATTTAACTACTCATAAGTGGGCAATTAGGAACAACCTTCGTGAGTCCAGCTGAATTTTTGTTTAAGCATGGTGGAACAGTAGTAAAAGGCATGGAGAAAGGTGCAAAAAGTCTTCAATATTCAATTAAAAAATATTCGACCGAAAGAACTATTACTATTCACTTTGAATTTGCTTGAAACCCAACATCTATTTTTGCTCATGCCAAATGAAGAGTTGTCGTCTTTTTCTTTTTTTTTTGCGAACGGTGCTCACATCGATCGCAATGAATAGCTACCGCTACTCGTGATCGGTTAGAGTAGCTATGTGCTCCGCTTAGCTGTTCTATGAACAGCAGCAAGTTGAATACGAGGGAGGGCAATGTGAGGCACTTTCAACCATAAGTGTCCGTTTGATGTTAAATTTGTGACAATTACGTCACTGTAATAAAACCCGCTACAAAGTAGCCGAAAATATCTTTTTACGTTAAACACAGACTGAAGATGCCATCGGTACTAATAATAGGTTAATTGAGACTTCTACAAAATTGCTGGCGTATGACTGTTCAATAAATAAATAAATAAATATCTGTACAGGCCAGGTCCTCTGTGGGCATAACACTTCAGTCTCCCAATGCTCCAACAGCTACAGTCTTTTCTATGGGCTAACTTTCGAAGAGATTGTATAAAACTTTCTGACATGAAAGCTCAAAATTGTCTGCTCCAAAACCGATTTTTTCCTGTTACAAGAGCTGCTCCAAATCACCTCTTGTCAGTTTCACCACTGTATATTCCTAGACTTCTCAAAAGCATTTGACAGGGTGTCTCACAGGGCCGTACCCAGAAAAAAATTTCGGGGGGGGTTTTTGGCGACAACGGCGGCCATTTTGAAAGTGTCTATTGTCTTATTTTCACCTATGAATCATGTGCATCGGTGGTATATAATGGAGAGTTGCAGCAAACCGGAGAACCGGTCCCGGTTTGGTATCCGGTAGCCGACCGCGCCACTGCGCGTGCGCAGAGGTGGAGATTAAAATCGGCTGGCTGCAAGTGCACCGACCAGGGCCGTACCCAGAAAAAAATTTCGGGGGGGGTCAGAACCCCCTATCTCCCCCCCTGGTTACGGCCCTGGTGTCTCATAACCACCTTATCGTGCAATGTCACAATTGATCCCTTTATTGTTGCCTGGATTTTCTAATTTGTTTCCAATCAAGTTAGCCGCCTCGGTGGCTCTGAGACGACAGCGCCGGCCTACAGATCCCCAGGTGGCGGGTTCGAATCCCGACCGAGGTGCCCCCACAATATGACGGAGGCTTATTGCGGAGAAGGCGCCGTGTAACCGAGCTTTCGGTTGCACGTCAAAAGATCCCCAGGTGGTCAAAATTAATCCTCAGTCCTCCGCTGGGGCGTGCCAGATGCCCGTCGTAGGTTTGGCACGTAAAACCCCTAAATTTGACTGACTTTTTTTCCAATCAAGTTCAATGCACTGTTATAAATAACTTCATGTGATCCAAGTCCAACTTAACATTGGGCATTCCTTTAGAAAACATGCTCAGACCGCTTCTTTTCCTAATCTGTATCAATGATCATCCTTTTCGTGTTGCGTCCACTATCTGACTTTTCACAGATGACTAATTTACTCCTGTCACAGATGGCGATCATCACTTATCCTTGCAAACTGCCTTATTATCCATAGCGGGTTGGTGTGATAGTGGCTGTTGTCCTCGAGGATAAAGAAATGCAAATTGCTTACATTTGCTCAGCTTTCATTACCATCTTTTTATGTCTACAGTATTAACGATACCATAATCAGCACATTCTTGTTTTATAAATATGTTTTTCTTTATATAACAAGAAATTTTACACGGATCACCCGCATTAGACCTACTATCGGTAAGGAAGACAGCGCACTTCACTTTCTCCTGGACAATTTAATACTAGCCCCTCCTAATAATAAATGCGTTGCATACCTTACCTTTGTATGCCCTAAGTTAGAACATTCATCATCTGTATGGTCTCCATGGCAGAACTATCTTGCTGAAGAATTAAAACTTCTCCAAAAAAGTTTTACAATTTAGTTATTCTGTCTACTCTTCTTATACTACAGTGATGTGATTGCTGCGCCAAGGGCCCAACCCTGCTACATGCTGCTACATTTTGCCGAAATATGGGTGATCTGCGCCAAGCCTGCACCAAAGGACCAATTTCGGTCGCATTTCAAAACCGAAACTAAACTGAATGCTGTAATTGAGCATGCGTGAGCTAGGTGGCGCAAGCGTCCGCCCGACAGAAAGTACTCTGCATCAATTGTCCGTCCGGTCTTACATGGTTTTTCCTGCCGTCTCTC